GTGTGTGTGTGAGAGAGAGTGTGTGTGTGTGTGTGTGCGTGTGTGTGTTTCAAGTGTACCTTTGCATGATGAAGGTCGACTCCATACATAGACAGTTTCTTTACATTCTCCAGAAAATGCATCTCAGCTTCAGCCGGCGTCATTCCTCTGAGAAACACAAACACACACTGCATCGGAAAGTCTGAAATCATTCGCATTAAACGTCCTAAACCTAACCACCTAACCACTGAATCCGTGTGAAATCACAGGAACGCAGAAGAAACAGAATGAGATTCACTTGTAGTTCTTGTGCAGGTCCATGATTTTCTCCTCCATCTCTTTGGTCTGATGAGGCGCGAAACGAAACTCGCTGACGTAGTCGGAGCCGTACTCATCCGGGTCATAATCGCCCAGCTCCGACTGAACCGAATACGAACCCAGAACCGTGTGTGTGGCGAACGAACACGGCAAACGACCCGATACGATATCATCCCGCAGCTGTAAACACAGGTAATATCTGAAACACACAAACACACACACACACAAACACACACACACACACACACACACACACACACAAAATCAAATACACAAACACACAATCAAACACACACACACACACAGTGAGAGAGAGAATCATTAGTCCTTTCTAAGTTCACTTTGCATTATTTAACATTTTCTTTATTTTCCATCACTGATATTTCACCTTTTTTTTCACTATTTCTTATTTATATGGCAATTTTTTTTTTATATGTGACCCTGGAGCACAAAACCAGTCATAAGGGTCAATTTTGTGAAATTGAGATTTATACATCATCTGAAAGCTGAATAAATAATCTTTCCATTAATGTATGGTTTGTTAGGATAGGACAATATTTGGCTGAGATACAACTATTTGAAAATCTGGAATCTGAGGGTGCAAAAAAATCTAAATATTGAGAAAATCATCTTTAAAGTTGTTCAAATTAAGTTCTTAGCAATGCATATTACTAATCAAACATTAAGTTTTGATATATTTACGGTAGGACATTTACAAAATATCTTCATGGAACATGATCTTTACTTAATATCCTAATGATTTTTGGCATAAAAGAGAAATGTGTAATTTTGACCCATACAATGTATTGTTGGCTATTGCTACACATATACCCCAGCGACTTAACACTGCTTTTGTGCTGCAGGGTCACATATTAGTTTATATTCATGGCATTTTGCATTTTGTGTGCAGTTCTTGGATTTGTGTGTAAAGTTTTGAAAATGTGTGTGAGCAGCTGAAAAAAACTGTAATACTTAAGAACATTAAAAAATTAGTACTTCCTTGTACTCGAGTAAAACTTTGAATTACTTTAACTTGAGTAAAAGTAAGAAAGTACTAGATTTCTAATGTAATTAAGTATTAAATGATATTTAATATGAAACGCAGTGCATTAAAAGTACAATATTATGCTTTGGAATGTTGTGAAGTAAAACACTAATAAAATACAGACACTTAAAAAGTACTTTTAAAGCAGAGTAAAAATACTTCACTACTGTCCGCCTCTGATTTTAAGGAATATATTTTCCAAAACATATTTAGTTTAAACTAAAAATATAATACAAAACGTACCAGCAGGGTTATTATAGTTAACTACAATTGAACTTAAAATTAAAACCATTACAAAAAAAATTGTTACTTGAAATTAAATATATAAAACACTTTTTATTTCAGCTAGTGGCCCAGGCATTTTCATTTAGTTTAAACTGATGTGCTAAAACTACTAAAACTGAAATTAAAGCTATATAACTATACAGACAATTATTTAAAAAACAAACACTACTAAAAATGACAAAAACACACAACAAAGTTACCAAAACACTAACTATAAATTAAATAAATAAAAATCGATTAGAAATATTAATAAAAACAGAGCTTCACTTCAATGAACCAGAAAAACAATAGAACGACAGAAAAAAGTTATTATTTTTAATTCTCACTTAAAATAATTGTTTAAAGAATTATACGAATAAATAAACAAATGTGATTTTAAAAAGACTAAAATATATTCAGAAGGTAAATATATTTATATTAGCTATATATTTTCCTGATATATTTTTCACATTGTTCTGCTTTAAAATACATGATAAAAGCATTATAATTATAGTGTTATATTAATCTGTGGCCATGGATGGAGATTATTTCTTTCAGTCTCTGACCTGGTGATGTCTTCAGACAGCAGCGCCGGCTCCGGAGGGTAAAACTTCACGTTGAATGAGAAATTCCAGGCGACGCCTGAAACAACAAACAATCACAAACACAGTGAGTCGCTCGAACGGAGAACACGCGGATCGCACAGATGGTTATTTCCAGAGCGTTTCACCTCTGATCTGCTTCTTCAAGTCTTTGGAAGGGTCCAGCCAGTTCTGAAACGAAGCGTTCAGATGAGTCACGACTCACTGAATCAGTGTTCACTGAATCAATATGAACGGAACAGTACCTTCTGATTCTCCACGTCACGGAATGTGACGGCAAAGTAATCTTTCTCCAGAAGATTGAGATGCTCGCAGACTTTGTCGAATAGAACCTGTCCTTTATCACGCTTCTGCAGAGAGAGACACAAACTCAACATACTACAGACTACATAACAAAATCTGAGATGAGATGAACATTCAGGTTTATTTGTTCTGAAGCCTTTAAAGATTGAAGAAAAAATCAATAACTGATGAGCCGTTTAAATATGGATGTAACTGCTGCTGTTTTCTGGCAAAAACTAATATTAAACTCCATCTGTGTGCTCTCATCTCTCTAATGAGCTCATCGAGAGACACTCTCGAGACCCTTCCCATGATGCACTCTGACTGCAGAAAAAACACAACCCTGAGAAAGAGAGAGAGAGAGAGAGAGAGAGAGAGACGGGTTTCATTAAAGCTCGTGCATGAAAGTCTTTTTTCTGTTTCTAAATCTGTTCGCAGTCGTCTGGATTCTCTAATTAAATATGCACTAATTTACATACATTTCCAGCACAGAAATCTGAAGATTGGATAAAGTCGAGTTCATAATTCTTGTCTGATTTTGTCGTCATATTAAAGGTTTTTCCAGAGGGGATTTTTTTGGATTTCTCTTTTTATCACTCCATAAATCAGAAAATACTGTCAACAGACAGAAAACAAACACATTTTCACCATGTTTTTAGGAGTGAAATGTTTATAAATCAGTGTGAATGAAATATGAACAACCCTTCAGAATATAGAGAGGAATAAAACTGTAAAGTTCGCTGTTTGTAAGAGAAATTAACTCTCTCTCTCTCAAAAAAATAAACAAACAAAATCTACAGATGAAAATAGATAAGTAATAAAATAAACACTTAAATGTGTGTTTTGGATGTTTTCTTTCCACTAGTCTGAAATATATGAAAGTTTGTTTCCACCACAAAATAAATGTAAAAAAAAAAATGTATTTCACAATTTTCAATAGTTTTTTTCTTGCAATATACAAACTCGCAATAAGGAGAAAAAATTTCCGAATTGTGAGATAAAAAGTCACAATTACATTTTTTATTTATTTTAATTATTTTTAATGGCAAATACCAAAAACAGAACTGCAAGCATGTAATCTCAGAATTATTTTCTTCAGACTTTTTTCGTGCAATTCTGAGTTTGCATCTTGCAATAAAAAAGGTAATTGCGACGTTTCATCTCACAATTCTGACTTTTTTCTCAAAATTGCAAGAAAAGAGTCAGAATTGAGTCAGAATTACCTTTATTTATTTACATCTGTGGTGGAAACAAGCTTCCATAGAAAGACGACAAATCTGACCAGTGCAATAAAACAGGCTGGTTTTAGCTGCAGTGTCTCGCCGTAAAGAAGCACTACGCAAAGCATTTATTTTCAGACAAAAAATCAAAAACTCCATCAAAAACCCTCCATGTGATGCAACAGAGAGTCAATATCAGAGTGATAGAGACTCGCTCAGGTTCAGGAGAACATGTGTTTGGTGCGGTCGCTGATGGACAGATGTGTCTGCAGTCTCACCTCCACCACGCAGGTGTAGTCGGAGCCGTCCAGAAGCGCCACCTTGCACTGCATGTTCTTGGGTTTCTGGCCGATTTTCACTGGAGATCGGGTCAGTTTACTGGAGGAGGACCAGCACACACACTCACACCACACACACACACTCACAACACACACACACACACGAACACACACACACACACACACACACACACACACAGTCACATTCTCATTCTGCTATATTTATTACAATATATACTGATAAATTAAACATTCACTTCAATGGTATGAGAGACTGGATGCTTTCAAATGATTTCCTATTGAACTGTCAGCAACTGAACTGCAGCTCAAACTATTCAAATATGTGACCCTGGAGCACAAAACCAGTCATAAGGGTCAACTTTTTGACATCATCTGAAAGCTGAATAAGTAATCTTTCCATTGATGTACGGTTTACGGTAGGACATTTACAAAATATCTTCATGGAACATGATCTTTACTTAATATCCTAATGATTTTTGGCATAAAAGAAAAATCAATAATTTTGGCTATTGCTACAAATATACCCGTGCTTTAATTAATTAAGCTACAAACTCCATCATAATGCACAATGTTTCCATCTAACATGTATTTTGAGCTGCAGCTCGTCATATTAATGGAGTGTTTCACTAGTTAGCAGTAAACCGGTTACCTCGCCTGAATATGTTCCTAGATTTGTGTCGCATGTTATTTTTGGAAAGGGAACATTGATATTTATTTATTTATTTTTGTAAAACATCACACTTTTGTTTGCTTATTTCAGGTAATGTTATAAAACTAGCGAGCTAAGCCAGTAGTAGTGCTGACAGTGTCGTGTAAACATGACTGAAGACGTGAAAAGTGGAGGAACAGACAAACACATTCAATTTAGTGAGTCATTCATGCTGGAACCGCTCCGATTGATTCAAACTCGTGACTTTGATCATTCATTTCAAGCTATTCAAAAGAGACATTCATTTAAGAATTTTGACATCGCTTGTACGTTTAGTGATGGGTGAAAAGGAGCTTTTCGAAACTCCGAACCAGTTAATCCATTGAGTCACAAAATGATTCACTTTTTTTTTCACTTTTCGAAGTGCTCCAATCGGATCGCGTATCGAGAATCATTTGATTCAGATCGGGACTTCGGAGTGCGTATTATAAATCATTTGATTCAGATCGGGACTTTGGAGCACGTATCGCGGAACTACATATTGGAACTTCGGAGCGGGTGCACGAATCATTTGATTCAGATCGGGACTTCAGAACGCGTATTGTGAAATATTTGATTCAGATCGGGACTTCGGAGTGCGTATTATAAATCATTTGATTCAGATCAGGACTTCAGAACGCGTATTGTGAAATATTTGATTCAGATCGGGACTTCGGAGTGCGTATTATAAATCATTTGATTCAGATCAGGACTTCAGAACGCGTATTGTGAAATATTTGATTCAGATCGGGACTTCGGAGTGCGTATTATAAATCATTTGATTCAGATCAGGACTTCAGAACGCGTATTGTGAAATATTTGATTCAGATCGGGACTTCGGAGTGCGTATTATAAATCATTTGATTCAGATCAGGACTTCAGAACGCGTATTGTGAAATATTTGATTCAGATCGGGACTTCGGAGTGCGTATTATAAATCATTTGATTCAGATCAGGACTTCAGAACGCGTATTGTGAAATATTTGATTCAGATCGGGACTTCGGAGTGCGTATTATAAATCATTTGATTCAGATCAGGACTTCAGAACGCGTATTGTGAAATATTTGATTCAGATCGGGACTTCAGAGCGCATATTGTGAATCATTTGATTCAGATCGGAACTTTGGAGTGGGTTCGCAAATCATTTGATTCAGATCAGGACTTCAGAACGCGTATTTGTGAATCATTTGATTCAGATCAGGACTTCAGAGCGCGTATTGTGAATCATTTGATTCAGATCGGAACTTCGGAGCAGGTTTGCAAATCATTTGATTCAGATCGGGACTTCAGAGCGCATATTGTGAATCATTTGATTCAGATCGGGACTTCAGGGGGCGTGTATTGTGAATCATTTGATTCAGATTGGAACTTTGGAGCGGGTCCGCAAATCATTTGATTCAGATCGGGACTTCAGTAGATCGCATATTGTGAATCATTTGATTCAGATCGGGACTTCGGAGCGCGTATCATGAAATATTTGATTCAGATCGGGACTTCAGAGCATGTATTGTGAATCATTTGATTCAGATCGGGACTTCGGAGCGCGTATCATGAAATATTTGATTCAGATCGGGACTTCAGAGCATGTATTGTGAATCATTTGATTCAGATCGGGACTTCGGAGCGCGTATCATGAAATATTTGATTCAGATCGGGACTTCAGAGCGCGTATTGTGAATCACTTGATTCAGATCGGGACTTTGGAGCCCCAGATCGGGGATTTGATGTCCCACTCTGAAATGATGGTTTGCGAATCATTATTCAGATCGGGACTTTGGAGCGCGTATGGCGAATCATTTAATTTGATCATTTGATTTGAAAGTTGAACTTTTTTTAACTTGAGCGCTGCAATTTTCGAGCGGTGTGTCATACATGCATGTTTATTGCACATTTACATAGAAAAATAATGGAAAAGCAGCACAGTGGAATGAAAACCGCGTTCTGAGTGAACGGCAAACAGTACCTGCTCTTTCCTCACAGGTGTGCTGTGGGCGGCGGCAGGAGGAAGCTGGTTATCGAGGGGCGGGGCTGAATGGGGCGGAGCCGCACTGGCCCCCTGCTGCTCTGGTTGGCTCTCTGGTTCTGTCGTCATTTCAAATCAAACTGTGATCAGAGCAGAAACAAACACACATGAAACCCTGCAACACGAATGGCTTACAGGCAAAGAATGACAGAATTACACTGAGCAGATCACAACAAACAAACAACAGCTCTAGCTGAACAATTCCTTTAAATAATACATCTCCAGCTGACCTTTGACCTTGAGGTCAAACTATGAACTTTACTTTGTGTAAATATGAACGTGAGCGTAAAACTAACAGAATTCTGATCAGATAAAATGACTTTAACAATCATAACCATTTCCCATGATTCCTGTTTGCCGTGACAGTGACGAATGAAGCACAGGATCATGAAAATTAATGTAAGTTTGTATTTTCTCTGTAGGACAGTGTTGAATGTTTATCTGCAGGACTCAGCTGCTTCTGCACATGTTTTGGATCACAGGCATTGTGGGAAAGACGAGAGACAGAGAAGAAGTTGAGATTTTATTTATTTATTTATTTCACAAAAAAAGGGACAGTGTACATTAATCAACTTTCATGAATGTAAATGTACCCAAATTAGCCTGAAGGCTAGTTTTCATTGGTAGTCCCTTTGCCAGATATTATTAGGCCAAAAATGCACACGATGCACAAGAAACTGTTTAACAGCTCAACAAATGCATCTGCATCATATGAATGGGGACTGATCCAGATCCAGAGAGCAGAGAAACATCAAACGACAGAGAGTGAAAGAATCCCATCAGATGAGGAAGATGAAAGCTCTTCATCACATCAAACAGAGCAAACAGGAAGCTAGCAACTGCATTTCCAGTCCTTCATTAGAATGCCTCTTTCATTTCTGTAGAGGACAAATATAGAATCTGCTGCTGAGGGACTCGAGCGTTTGTGTGTGTGTGTGTGTGTGAGAGTGAGTGAGTGAGTGTGCACCTGGTATTCA